AATTAAAGAAGTTTCGACCCCTTAAAGACTTGCGACGTGTTTGCCATCTGGACAGTCCACCAGTCAAGGCAAAACTCACAGTTGAGTTTTGTGGTCAACGCGCGCAGACCAAACGAAGTCAAAATATCTGGGTGTCACTCTTGATCGAACCCTTACGTTTAAGATACATCTGAAAAAAACAGCAGAAGATCAAGACCAGAAAACTTGCCGGCTTCTCTTGGGGAGCAGACGCCCTCATGCTGCGTACTAGGTCTTCGCGCTTGTGTATTCTCTCGCGCAAAATTGTTCTCCCATTTGGAGCCACAGCTGCCACACGAGCAAATCGGACACGCAGCTCGATGAAGCTATGCGAGTAGTCACAGGAACCTTGAAGCCAACCCAAACACAGTGATTACCGACTGTGGCGCATATTGAACCTCCTCACCTCCGGAGAGGCGAGCAGGCGTCTACGTTTTCCAGAACATTGAAAGAAATCGCCAGTTACCCACCAACTGTATTCTCCAACAGCCACCAGCACGACCCTTGAAATCACGCCACCCACCAAGAAAATGAGCAACGACACCGTGTCTGAGTCTCGAGGAATGGTGTTGAGGAGAATGGGACCCTACAGCTGTCCATAACAAAAACTTAATCTCCAGTCCGACTACAGAAACTCTTGGCGTTGACTTGAATCGCCAAGAATGGTCGAGATTAAACAGGATTCGAACAGGACGAGCACGCTGTGGACGTCTACTCCATCGACAGTGTGACTGCAGTCACGAAGATCAGACCATGCAGCATCTTGCTTCCTAATGCCAGCTGCGAAAGTTCGACGATAGCATAACTGATATCCAGAAATTTTGTAATTAAGCTATCTTAATTAGCTGGCCAGTCATCTTCGCCAGCCATACAACAAAAGAAACTGCTGCTGTTGCTCTTGACACATAACAGTATTCACGTTATCAGTCCATATTCGTTCATTTATCAGCCTATTCGTCTTCCGCACAATTTCAAGTACCGGTGCATTTAATTTGCTTTCTCAAAATATGAAAAATATGGGTTCACACGTAGAGCATATTAATAAGCACGTGGCTGCTCCAGACTGAATTTTGGAGCGTATGCTTCTAACAGCTGATAAGAGACATCTCATGTAAGATTCGTTGTTGAAACATACAAGTTGGTAACTAACAAGCTACTGCTACATTCAAGTAAATCACCTCAGATTTATCTTTGCAGTGCGGGTGCTCAGATATCCGGCTACCATGTCTTAATTTGGATCTGTTTGGCGGTCATCATGCAAAATACGGCGTACGACTCCGTATTTAAAAATTTACTAAATTTGCACTTTTTCTAAAATTCGGTGTACATGCGGCTGATGCATCTCTCAAAAATACGTAGCATTTCAGCTCTTGCAATGACGGATGCATACCACGACATTTTTAGAAGCTGAAGCAGCACATTTCTCGTTTCAATGACATATCTTGAACCTGTACTTTTCCAATACTTTGCATCCAAATAGAGGCACTCATTCAGAAGGAAAGAAGCTTTCTTAGAGAAAAGAATATAAATGCGTGCAATGTTTATAAAATGATTTAAATAGAAATATCTCATTTAGTGCGCAGTCAATTGGAGCATAATTCTGAAGCCTCTTTCGTATTAATATGACAGACTTTAAGAACTCCGCAGTATTCAGAACAACAACATTAGGGGAGGGGAAAATGGGGAAGGCGGGGGGGGTGGTAGCGGAGTGTTCTTTTACTGCATATATGACGTCAACAAAAAAGCGTACCGGAAGCACTAATTCGAACTCTCAATGCCAGGACTCTGGCGGATTATTGGTAGCGAAGTGCGTGACGTGACTTGACCGCCTACAGAACGACACAAGATATGAAGAGTACTTTAAACTAAAATGTTCCTTGACATCGGTGCATAGCCACTGTTTCTTCGGGGTGAAACGTCACAGCTTCTGTGGCTTAGACGCGATTTGCGAATGCTTCCAGGATTAAAGCTGAAACAGCTACCATTTGCTCATCTTACCGACCGAAGCCCTCGGGACAGCCAAGAATGAACAGGAATTCGTTGTCTGTCGACAAATCTGCTAGATTTGGGTTATCTACTGCCGAAACTCAAGCTCTGACAGAGAATCAAAAATGTTAGAGACACTGTCTGATGCTGAATTATTTGAAAGTAATAATTTGCCTTTCAGCCACCAATACCGGATTTACACGATTAAGCTGCACCACTCCCTTGCTTCTGCTCTCCTAGGGAGATCATTTAAGCTGATCACGGCTTCATGATGCTTAAGAGTCTTCAGGATATCGAACGCATGAGCGGAGGAATTGAAGAACTGTCATTCATAACAGGAACTTCAGAACACCGCCATTAGATTTCATTTTGGTTATTAAACAACTTTACTTAAAACCTTCAATGGTCTTCATGTTACATATGAGATTGCTCTCTGCACTAAAATTCTAAAATTGGGGGAAATTCTCTGAGAAACACGAAAACCATGGAATCAGTCTTTAACCTAAAGGAACAATGTTTAATTTTTAAGTCTATGTAAAAAGTGATAATATTTATTTAATAAATAATTTTTTATAAATTTACGTGCTACTCTTCCTAGCCTAATTAATTGTTAAACAACACATTAACTATGCCACATTTGGTAATGTCCTTAAGTACTTCGAGCGCATGTGCAGGCCGCCACCGTACACAGAAACAG